CGGGGGCAAATCCTGGTGCCACCTCTGGACCCCACGCCCAGAGAACCCCCCCTTGAAATGACCTGGCTACGGGCCTGCGGTTATTTAGAGGTTGATATTCTTTAAAAAAAATCTCATTAACCCCCTACTCATCTCGAAAGATGTACTGGGTTTTTGAAGTGCACAGGAGCATTTGTGTACACTGGGTCTACGGTTTTAGTCCTTATCCGAGAAGACTTGTTCCACCACCAGAACCATAGGAGCGAGCAGGCCGCGAACCTATGCCGATATTGTTGGCTATGATCACGGTGCCCCTGCCTTAACCGCTCGGCCTGGCTCGCTGTGATGACAGTGATACTGTATTTTAAAGGCGTGGTCCTGCTTCTCCATCTGTTACATGATGATGGATGTCTTTCCAATTTACCTCTTTAATGTTGATACCTTCTGTTGCATGATGATGGATGTCTTTCCAATTTACCTCTTTATTGTTGATACCTTCATCCTTCATTACTCCTTCTATTGTTTGCTTAGTGTTTTCCAGCTCACATTCATCTTCATCAAATGCTTTACTCTAAATAAGGGGAAATTAAACAGAATCATAAAACAATTATTAATGTTATTACTAGAAGAGCCAACATGACTTTTTCATTCAATCTCACACTTTTAAATAAACTTATCGTTTTTGTTATATTTATGGTAGCCTATATTTCGATAGAAACTAGAAATTTACCTACAGTGGAAATGAATTATATTTAAAAAAAACTATACGAAAAACAATTTAAAACTATTAAACATTTTATAATAGGCCGAAAGCAAAACCTCACCTCGATACTGTCTCCAGTTTGGAGCTTTGACTTCTCTTCAGTGGAGTTGTTATTATTTATGGAAGCTACATCCTCGCCTGCCTTTTGCATTGTTGCATGCTCATCATCTTTAGCAGAGTTAAATTCAGGGACTTTTTTAAAACCAATGATGATTTGAACCATCAGCAAACCACAGAATATGAATACCACCAACTTCATAACGCTGAAGAAAATTAAAATGAACATAATGAACCTTATAACAGGATTTTTTCTCGTGACCAAAAAAAAAAAAACTCCACCCAATAGTTGTATTCTCGAGTGATTTTGCAAACCCTAAACGTGTGACTCAAATGACAGGTTCCACTGTATGTCATATATTACACAGATGATAAATGTTTTATAAAATTTTTGAAACATATATAAAATAATATTGATTTGTAGCAATTCTAACATTACAATTATCTATTTACAGTATTTTATCATACTCAATTATTCAATTCAATTCATTAATTTAATTTTATTGGAATATTTATTTCAATTGAATACAACAAATTTTTGAATAAAACATCACAATCTTCAAATTATAAAAAAACAAACAAAGGCATTAAAGAATTACATTAACAGTAGGCCTACTTGAAAATACTAATAATTTAGCTTGAAAAAGACTTAAGACAATTATTTTACGATACATTCATAAAAATGATAATACAGGTAATATCAACTTCATTAGTATAAATTTAACGTTAGACGCTATATATTTAATATATTTACAGTATTTAATTATACATTCATAATGATATTAACTTTTTTTATATAGTATTCAATATATAGTAACAATTCATATATAATTCATTATTTACAGTACTAGTGTCTTACATTACGATACCAAGCTTCTAAAATACAGATTATTTGGGGGCTGTTTTATGTTTAATAGGCTACATTGGCCAGTCACTGTGAAGACACATGTTGTATTTTGAATTGCTTGTTTTTGAAAGCTATTTCCATTGCTTGTAGTAGGTGCTAACCTTTTACTATTTTTGTGTCGTACGGTATTATTTGATTTGATTATATTTTTATGAACACCAACAATGAGAAATAACATTTCAACAGTGGTTGGAAACAGTGATCGCCAATAAAGTTACATTGACGAAGAAGCAGCAGCAACAAAATCGTATTTTGATCATGATAGCGAGGATGTAACCGGAGTATTATATGTATATATAT